TACAATGATCGAACAGAAGACCTCCCTCCTGTATTCCTTGACCTCAAGACTGCGAGAGACTCCTTCAACTGTATCTCGCGACGTGCTGCCCACTTCGCCTCCATGGCTTGGAAGCTAGAGCACGTAGAAAGTGACAAACCATCTCACAGTCTCTGGGATCCAGTTACTATGGACTGGAGAACATATTTGAGCCAAGAACACGGGATGTTCACAAGATTTTCGGAGCAATGGATGGATTCCTTCTCAGCCATCTATAACAGTGCAAGAGAGACGGTCCAGACGACACCTGCGCCATTCAGCAATAACGTAATTGCCCCGTTGGCGATGCGAAGCCACTTTCTTGCAATGCGACTAGCATTACGGCATTTCTCGGACGTTGAGGAAATAGCTTGGGATAGGTCGATGCCTGAGTTCGTGGAGATGCTTGCGAACTCGGAAATCATCTTGGCGAATCGAAATAGGGGTGTCTTCTCATTTGACCTTCAGAGTGTATGGCCATTGGATGTCATTGCAAAGAAATGCAGGAATCCAAGAATGAGAAGACGAGCAATACAGCTGTTGAAAAATAAACCTAGGAGAGAAGGTATGTGGGACAGCATCGTCGCTGCCTTGGTCTGTGAATGGGTTGTTAATGTTGAGGAAGAGGGAATGCTTGAAGATGGATCTATACCGGAAAGTGCGAGAGTGAGAAACATTGGCGTAGAGCTGGATTCCGAGAATAGGAAGGCGAAAGTTTGGTGCTTCCTCCCTGCCAAAATTAACGATGCCGAGCTTGGCAATGAGAAGGAAAATCATTCTATACGAAAGAGGGAGACTTTTCTCGAGTGGGGTCATCAGAAGTGGAATGCCGGATTCGGAGAAGACGTCGCCGGCAAATGGAGCCGTGGTCATCAGCGTATTCTTAGCGATCGACAGGACGACTCCGATGCTGTCAATACGTTCGTCGGCATGGGTCTCTACTTCAACGCGAGGACCTTCTCCACGAGTGAGGACCATGCCTTCTCTGATATCTTTCCGGGTGCTCAGTGAGCCGGCCTTCCCAATATTCCTCCTCGAGCTTCAAGAATCAAAATAATAGAGAAACTACGCGTGGTATTCAGAAGGCAAAGGAAGGAATTGCGGTACCACTCGCCACAGGAAAATATTTGAGTCGAGAATATACATTTCATTCAACTGGGTATCTGATGAGCATTGTGCCACATATACAAGAACACGCCCATTCTTATCCCTTGCTAAGCACGCTAAACTCAAATATATATATATTTTTTAATTTTTAATGCAGATGAACGATCGCCGACTTTTCTTTAGAAATGTAAAGATTATTTGAAAACCAACGTGATACAACTTCGATCCTGTGTAACATATAACAGAAGTCGGTTCTCAGGAAGCCGGACGAACTTCGAAATCCAAGCTGAAACCAAGCGCTGAAACCAACATTGGCGTATGAGAGCGAAGGTTACTTTGAAGTTTGCAAAATGTGAGGATGTCCGTGAGTAGGAATGCTTCATATCTCCAACAAAGATTCCAAAATCAGAGCCTAGAGACAGTGCCTGACAAGAAATTCGAATACTTCAAAACCGTGTCGGTCCCAAATTTGAGCAAAGGGTTGTGAACCTGTGATAGCCTTGCGGGTCTGAAGAATAGGACAGAACAACACGATTTCGAATGGCCGCTTGAAGAGGCAGGAAAGTGCTGGCTTCTTTCTTGTCTGGTGAGCGTTCTTAGAAGCTCGTTAATACTCGACGAGACGGCCACAAGCGAGAGGACGAGAATGGCTTGACATCAGCCTTTGCTTCATTTTTTCTGGGTCCCATTGGGCGAGTTCGCTGAAGTTGACTCTACATGCCGAACACGTACGTTCCCTATCGGGGAGATCTGAGGCTTTGCATATGCCTCTGGCATTGGGTGTTTTCCAAGCATGTCCCATTGGCGTTGACGCTTTTTCTTTCGCTGTATTTCCAGCCTATCAAGCCATCCTTCGCGAGACGCTTTTGCCTGGGTTCTTTTTACCTGGGTACTATATAAGATTTGCTGCTTAGCAAGCTTTTTCGCTGCGAAGAAGTTCTTCCTCTCTAATGTTTTGCTCAACACAAGGTCTATCATTAGTTGGTGCGTAGGTAGATGAAGCCTATGCTGACTACCTCTTTCTATCAACTAGCTATTGGTTTTCTCTATGCCGGTATCTTTCCCATATAGAGCATAAAATGCCATCGGGTTTGAATATATCTTATCCAAGTCTAATGCCACCCAGATATAGAGTTCATAATTCATTGATCGACGTGTCCGGTATATCGCGACGGACAACTTCCCATGACTCTTTAACTAGTTGCACCATGATAGTATGGGCATCGGGGATCTGAGAAAGTTCTGCAGCTGTACATTCGAAGTGGGTAACTAACGGGCCAATCACCGCGTCTTTAACAAGCTTTCGATAGCTGCTAAGCAACATCTTGCGTTGATCTACTAGCAAGGCACGTAGTTCTGTGCATTGGAGAATATGATCGACGAGATACTGTGTGTCGTGAATTCTCCGAAAGGCTTCTACTTTGCTCGTCTTGAGGGAGTCGATCGCAGGTGGGCCGATCAGTAATTGACCAACCCCGTCAAAGTGTAAATTGTACCCAACCCCATGTAGATTGTATCCAATCCCACGAATTGTCTTACTTGCTATCCATTCTTTCGAGTTATTACTATGGCCCAGGCTGTCTGCTTCATGGCCAGGAACGTTCTCCCAGACACGGTGACTCAAACCTAAGCGAAAAGATGAGCGTGTTCATGTTCAAAGATCCGGAAAACTCAGCTTAAAAATTTCCTCTAATATCGCGAGACTATCTTGTATGGCCAGCACTGCAGAGTCTGGCCGCAGCCTATCCTTGATTTCAAATATTGCCCCCGCCGCCCATCTCGACCTGGCAGAGCTTATTAAGTTCATTATAGGTCGCGTGTTTCCAGCACTCTGGACATATGGTGCTTCTGGCGTGATCTTGCTTTGTCCGGGTCTCTTATCCTGTTGTTCTTGGTTCGTAAGCATCTTTGGTATAATTTCAATGTCAATACCGCCAGCCTCTATTGTCTGGCTCCCTATGAGCAATTGTATCCTGACAACTTTAGCTGCTTTCTAGTCTGGTGTATTGCGGTTGACATACATGTATGGCCAGTTTGTATTTCGATACAAACATTTGAAGGGTGGCTTTGGGGCTTACTTTCGTCCTCTTTCTACAAAGTCTTGCGCCCTCGATGCATCCGCAGTCAAAAGTGTGATAGGTGGCGGGTTGGGTTTCAGAGTGAGAAAAGCCGCGATTGCACATCCTTTATTTCCAAGACCTAGGATATAAATCTTTATTCGATCATCGTCAGCGATTTTAACCACGGAAGAAGAGGAATGCAATCGTGATTGGAATCGGTGTGATTGACCAGACAACTTTAAGGACAAGCTCCTCACATGTTCTAGAGAAGAAGCCAGCAGCCGCATGACTTAGATGTTATTGGCATGCCCCGCTCTTGTGGTCCGCTTCGACGAAGTACGACATGCACAAAAATGAGATAGGTAAAGTTAGAACAGACGTCGTCGAGATTCCAACATGTCGAAAGCCACTCACGTGACTCAGAACACATATGTAATTCTAAATATAACTCAAGAAATAATTCATCCTGGAAAACAGTTAGCAGAGTTCCTCAAGCCTTCCATTCGCCTATCATCCCTTCTCGTTTGCTGTTTCTCTCAAGCTGCGAGTTACTGCGTCGTCGCCATCGGAGTTTCGACAACCGACTTACGACTCAGCCACCCCACACTTGACATCACCAGGCTCCCAGAATAACATTGAAGCGAACCGACCAACGACATAACACATTGACTTCATGACTGTTAAAAGATTCGCAAATAGCATGCGAAGGCCAGTCGCCGGAAGCCCGCGATTGCGCCTCAGTCCTAAACACCTTACGATGAGGCTTCTCGCGAGCCTCAACCAGAAATCTTTGAAACTTATATGAATTCCGTGCTCCCATGTATGTCTCTCCTCCTCGCTCCTCATATCTCTCTACCTATAATAGTGTCTCGACATATTCATTCGTTTCTCGTCACGAGCTCTCAATATGGATTGTCTCTCAACCTCTGTCCCGCTCATCCTCGTTCTCACAACTCTCTACACACCCTCTTTTTCACATCCGCTTTCCACCATTCCAGAACAAGTCGCTCGACGATTCGTCCCCGTCCCTCCTTCGACCTATGTCTCTGCCGCAAAGCTCTCCACAAAAGCCATCCTCCTAATAGTAATCCTCATCCTCGTCACTCTCATCCTCAGCACATGCACGTGCTACATCTGTATCAAGCGTCGTCGGTCTCGAGCCCGAGCCCGTCGACTAGCTAAGCAGAGCGCCGAATCGAGACAATTGAAACCGAGGATCAACAAGAGGAATGCGAGGTTCTTTGCTCCCGGGCTGGTGATGGATAAGATTGAGAGGGAAAGATTGAGAGAGGAGAGAGAGACGGAAAAAGCTTGGGCCGGAAAGGAGGAGGAGTATGAAATGTGGAAGTTCGGTGCGGTTGGAGGGGTACATGTTGAAGAAGTAAAGAGGCCGGAAAAGGCTAAAGGTGGATGGAAGGAGGTTTTGAGAGGGGTGGTGGTGAGGAACTGAGCGATGATAAGCAGCAATGGGATTCGAGTTATCCATAATGTTTGATATCTAATTGATGTGCTACTTTTCAAGCCATTTGCAGATTGCAGATCATAATTGAATGGCCCGAGAACGTGAAATTGTGAGGGTGAAAAGCGGGATGGTGGGGCACAGCAAAAGGCTGAATAACCTCAAGATTCAAGAAGGATGGAAGCACTATAACCGCCGTGAAGATCATTAGTTCTCCTCAAATGCTTTGAATATATGGTGTAGCAAGGCAACATGGATAGGCAAACCAAAAAAAAAAAACCCTTCGCCTAATTCTCGGCTCCTCCCCTCGATATAAAATCCATAAAAACCCAAGACAAAAGCAAAAAGAAGATTTTCTCCGGTACAGGGAATCGAACCCTGGGCTCGGCCGATTTCTATTTGAAAAGGCCATATGTTACCGTTACACCATACCGGATATGTTTTGATATTTACAAAGTTGTTATCTAAATTTATACTTGCGGTTCCCATTGTGGGGCAATATCAAATTTTTCTTTTAAGCGGGTTCGCTTGTACGAGAGAGTTAGCTTAGATCTCCCCCATTCAAGTTATTAGCTGAATATCTGAGGGGCTGGATGGGATTGTATTTGTTCACGATGAGGTTGCGATTGCTCGTTTTTAAGATATGATTTCAGCGCCTATCGAGAACCCGATTTCTGAAGCTACTTCATATTCCATGATATCAAACTGACTTGAGATTTGATTACATTTGATTAAGCAACGAAGACATATACGGAGAGCTACTGAGTACTTCCGCAATGCCTCTCTCGTGCAATATATCTTCAAGTGCCAGGTATTAAAACTAGCTCACGTGATCTTACCCAAACTCTCCCTTCCAGTTCGAACGTTTTGACTTCTGCGTGCTGTTTTCTGTTGTTGAGTCGACCAGATCGTGAACTCCCTAGGCTATGCTTCACTTACAATCCATGAATCTCAAAGCGAGACTAACCACCGGTCTCAAGCACTTGCCTCATCGTCAAGATGAAGAGCACGATTGACAGCTGGTAGGTTGCAATGGCACGTATGCTATTTCTATTTCTACATTGTGTAGCGCGGACCTCTCTACCTGTATTGTCCTTAAAACGCCATATCATGATCATAATCCTACATTATGCCCATTCCGATAAGGCATCAACCCAAACCAGGGAAGCAAGAACCCAAGCTCAGCCTGAGGGGGAAATCATTGGAAGGTATCACAGAAAGACGAGATCAGACCGAACGCCGAACCATAAACACGGTCGTCATAGCCCACTCATGCCAAGTATAAAGCAAATCGTTATTCATCGATCGTCCCCGACTCCGAAGAACTCCCTACCCTCAAACGCCAATTCTGCTCTTTTTGAAAGACCTCTGAGAAGAATTAAAATCATGCTGCGGCTTTCTCTTGTGGGATGGCGTAAGCTCGATCTCATCATCGTCGATAACCATAGGAGTATTGGCTTCGGTGGTCTGTACGGTGGTAGCATCGGTCATAGAACCCGGTCTTGTGCTCATCTCCCTCAAGCCATTTCCGAACCTGCTCTCGTATTCCAGGCGAATGCCCTCTGCAAGATCATCACAGAGCTTCTTATTATGTAGGTTCTCTTTGAAAGTATCGGTGCAGCTGGAGCATTGAACATAGAACGCTTGCGCCATTTCAGGATAACCCAACAACTCGTACTCCATGAGACTGTTACCGATCAAGACGGTCTTCTCCATGTTGAGGCAGTCTTCGCAGTATGCACGCTCGCACCAACGGCAGCGATAGAGCATACCACCTGCTTCTGAAGTGCCTTGCTCGCAATCAAAGCATCGATGCTGAGGGCAGTTGAACGACCAGCCCTTGGCTTTGGCTTGGTAATTACGGTCGAGACAATCATAATGATACGCTCGAGGGCATAATTTGCAGCAGTGGAGTTCACCGCCATCGATGCAAACTTGACAGTGACTTTGGGGCTCAAGATCGAATTTCTTGGAGCGCTTTGGCTCAGCAAGACGAGGATCCTTCCCAGCCATGGTTGGAATAGCTTCTCCCCAAGCACAATCCATTGACTCCTTCGAAACTGCAAAGCCGTCTACCATGACCGTGGTGTTTTTGCCGATGCGTCGATCTGCTCTGTTGAAATACTCTTGCGCAATATCCTTATTGGTATTATGTTTTGCACCTTTGGCCAATTTCTTTCCCTCGAAGACCGAGGATTCGACACGTTCCATCTCGGACAACCACTTGCGTTCGGCTTCTTCGTCGATCTTAGCATCGGGCACAGTGTCTTGCTTGACGGCCAGGTCAGCTGGGTTGTCTTTGCACTTCGCTACTGTAGTTTCCCAATCCCTATGTCATGGGTTAGAAATTTAAGGAAGTTGAGAATCGGAGTGCACTTACCAGCTGAGCATCTCAGTGATGTCAACTTCCGGTCTCGAGATAGCTGTAGCGCCACGGCGAAGTAGGGACATCAGCTGGTTTGTAGATAGCTGGGGCATCGAGTCATCTTCCGCTGAATCGCCCTTTCTGGATTTCTTGCCGGAACCAAACTTCGTGTGAATATCTTGCATGGCTTCGGTGACCTTTGCAGACAAGTAAAGCTTTTTCTGAATGCGGCCCATCATTTGCTCTTCTACAGTGCCCTGTGAGATAAATTTGTAGATTGTAACCGGATTCTTCTGGCCAATTCGATGCGCTCGAGCTTCCGCTTGAAGAGTGATCTGCGGATTCCAGTCCTGATCAAGAAGTACCACATCCGAAGCAGTGGCTAGATTGATACCGAGACCGCCAGCTCTTGTGGAAATGAGCATTACTCGATACTCACTATTCACATCGTTGAACATTCTAATACCAAGGTTTCTGCGAGCTCTAGCAGTTGAGCCATCAATGCGCATTGATCGAAAACTTGTACCATCACCGCCTCTCAGGAGTAGAAATTCTTCTACCAGGTCAAGCATTTTAGTAAAGCCAGAGAAGATCAAGATCTTCTTCTTTTGCTTGACGACAAGTTCTTTGACTAACTTTTCTAGGACGATAAATTTGCCCGAAGCCGTAATGACATGGTCGCCAGTGTAGTACGGGTCCGGTTCAGCGTGAGGGAGTTGATATGGATGATTACAAACCTTTCTTAGCTGCATGAGCAAATTCATGAGTTTCTGCCACTCGGACTTCTTGCCTTCGCCGGATTTGGTCAATTCATGCTCACGTTGGATTGTCTGCTCCAGAATCGCCTTAGTCTCTTTCCACGCAGCAGATCCAATTAAAGCATCATCTTCAAGAACCTTGAGAGCATCGGTTTCTACTTTCATCAATTCGGTCTCTTCAGACTCAGTTTGTTTCATCTCCTGGATAGTCTTTTCTTCCTTGTTTTTGACATCCTTGAAGATCTCGTCCAGTAGACTCTGCTCGGCCTTGGTGATCATTCGCTTGTACCAGAATATTTGCATTTCAGTTAGTGGCACATACAAAAGCACTTCGGTTTTGGGAGGAAGATTAAGATCAACTCCGGGCGAGTTTTTCATGCGTCTTAGCATGATTAGCTCAAGTAAACGTCGAGCATCATCCAGGACCGTACTCGAGTACTGGCCCTTCGAAAGATTGAAGGATGTGTCAAATAGTTCGTTCGTATTAGAGGCAAAGACCTCTGGATACAACCAATGCAACAAGGCCCACAACTCAGATAGATTGTTCTGGAGCGGGGTTCCAGTCAGAATCAGTCGATACTCGGCCTTAATACCTTGTAAAGATTTCGAGATCAAGCTCGCATCATTCTTTACTGTGTGGCCTTCATCTAGTACGACATAGCGCCAGACAAAGGCAGTCTTGAACCACGATTGCTCAGCTCTGAAGCAGTCATAGGTTGTAACAACCAAATCCACTCCGATGTCTTGCGCATCATCAGAATCCGAATCCAGGGAAACCACTTCTTTTCCGGCCGCGTTTCGTCGTGATCTCAGCTTCGACTTTGCTTGTGCGGTCAAATGACCATAGTGATCGATTTCACCCACAACGATCTTCTTCAAGCGCTGACGTTCTGCAATTGGGCCGTGGAATCGAATGGCTTTCAGGCCTGGAGTCCACTTTTTCGCTTCCGACATCCAGCTACTGAGTACAGACAAGGGACATACGATCAAGAATGGTCGCTGCAACCGTCCTGTGCCTGCTTTTGGGTCGTTCTCCTTAAGGTGCTGGATGAGTGACAGAGTTTGGAGAGTCTTGCCCAGACCCATCTCATCACCGAGAACGCCAGACAATCCATTGTGGTGTAGGTACATCAAGAATGAAAGACCTGATAATTGGTAAGGCTTCATGACAGCAGTAACGCCACGTGGTTGCTTTTCGATTTCTTGGTAAGGAGTGATTACGGGGAGCGTCGCACGCTCTGCTGGTGATACGTGCTGCTGCTGGGCGACTAGCTTCTTAACATAGTTATTGGGCGGCAACAGAGGGAGCCATAAATCTTTCTTTTCCACAAGAAATTGGTCTCTGAAGGCAGCAGTCTTGCTTGCGATCTCTTGCCTGATAGCACTTCTCTTGCTGACTACCGGCGTCAGATCGAGGTCAGGTCCCAGGAGATCAGAGAAGGTATGCTCGCCCTTCTTCTTGGATCGACGTGGATTGCTGTAGCTGTTTTCCAGAGCCATCATAGATGTATTCTGGCGCCGCTCTCTCGTAGATCGTCGAGTGGGGGGTGCGTATTCAATGACAGAATCGTCGTCCTCGTCTGCAGTCCGCACTCCTGGCGTATTCTCCTCATCTTCGTCGTCGGACAATGTGATAATCTCTTGTTTTGAAGGAGTTCGCATTGGCAGAGGGGAGGAGTTGAGCTCTGGGCGCATTGCCGGTATTTTCATAGTTGGGCTGAGGTTCTTCTCATTCTTCAAGTCCATCTTGTGCTCGGTGCGAACCCCAAATTGGGCAAGGAGGCTCGAGGCGCTTGTGCGACGGACCTGACCCTGAGGACTCGGCGCAATGGGTGGATATGCATTCTGCATTGTGGGCATCGACTCTGTGGAGCAGAGTAGAGCTGGTAGGAAAGGTAGTGGTGGAGGTGTAGACCTTTGTGAAAGTGAAGACAGTGTTGAGGGCGGAATGTTTAGGACAACGCGTAGGTTAAGGAAATAAGTAGCACACAATCCGTTCGCTTTTCCATTGACGTTTGTTGAAAGTGAATGGCCACTTCTAGCTGAAGTCAGGTTCTCAAGTTTGCAAGATGTATGCGCAACAAAATGTGTGGGAAGGCTGAAAATTTGGGATGGAGGCGGCCATCAATTTTCTGACTGCACTCTTGACGCTTTGGGAGTCGCGTCGTTCCGCGTCCAGGCCAATTTATTTTAGGCCGGCCGAATCACCCTGTTCAGATGATGTTGGAGGGGCAAGGTGGCCTCGTTTCTCAAATTCACTTCAGACTATATTCCTTCCTTCAAAAGTGAATTGATGCACCTGAAGTGAAGACT